GCAGCATTAACTCAGGTACCCTGGTGTAAATCCAGCCAGAGGTCAAACCCAGCCCTGCAGCAGCCATGTTTGTCCAGAGGACTTCATCAAAATAGCACCATTCAGCATTCATTCCAACAGCACCAGACTAATTTACCTCAGCTACACCTGGATTTCTGAAAACTGGAGGGCACCAGATCATGTTCAGACATGACAAAAGAAGTGTTTTCTTTCTCTCTTCTCTGTCAAATCAGGGCTACTTGCAGATTGAGTGGGGAAATAAGAATCTCTTAAAAGTTCTTTTTTTTTTGGTTTATTGATTCAATAGTATTTGATGGCTAATAACCACCCTTGACTAACAGGCTCATTTGAACTTGGAATGCTGTGATCTCTTATGTTATTAAATCACAGAATAGCCAGTTTACAGATAAGTAGCCTGCTTAAGGTGGGAGAACTCAAGACTTGTCTTTTCTTAGGAAAACTATAATCTTTTTATGCTGTTTTTAGGGATCCTTCTCTGTAAGTTTTCCATAGAATCACAGAATCTTCATTTCCTGTGTACTTGCACAGTCACAAGAACAAGGATGGCTTGAAATTAAAGTAGCACAGTTCAGCCTTCTTAAATTAAAAACTTTTTAATCAGTTTTTTTTTTTTTTTTTTCTTGGAACCAGAGGCAGATGAGCCAAAATACTGTATAAAAGAAGAAGAAACCAAGCTGGTTTTGTTGTATTTTTGGCATGGAAAATGGCTTTCAGAGATACTGGAAGTCATGCAAGAAGAGTGTGTTCTTAAGAGACTTCTAGCCCCTGCTCTGAAGACTGAGGGCTTTAGATAAGAGTCTGCATGTGGGGATCTTTATCCAAAACAAACCACCCAAAACTTTTGTAGTCTCTAATACTGATTTCCTCCTCTGCATCTCTCTGTGCTGCTGCTCAGATACACAAGTTCTTCAAGGCATCCTAAAAGCTTTTCTTTGCCTATAACAATTTAATTGCCTCTTGTCCAAGATTTTCTCCTCTGTGAAGAAAAAGAACGTGATCAAAATGTCCTGTGCTGCCCAAAGAATTTCCTCTCCTCAGCCTCACTGCACACACCAGGACTGTTTTCTTTCCCCTTCTTCTTCGCCACATCTCTGCATTTTGCATGAATGTTTCCTCTTTTTTTTTCCCTGCCTGGAAAAATCCAATGTCTCCTCCCACTCCCCTGGCAGTATGGCTGACAGATACAGGGAAATCAGCACAGTGTCAGCAAAAGTTTAGCCCTGCAGCTGGGACCTGAACTTTCAGTGGCAGAGCACAGCGTTAGGTCACTGCACTAAAGCAAGCCAGATTGATACAAATTTGCTTGCTCACCCTGGAAAGGGAAGCATCAGAAGCCAGTAAATAAAAAATCTTTAGGCACCTTCTATTGTGAGCTTTGGCTTTTTTTTCATGGGAAAATGACCATGGAGCATATATTCAGTGTCATGACTCCCAAAGCAATGCAATATTTGGGTGCTCTCTGCACTCAGGGTGTGATATTGCACTGGGGCATCATGGATTTTAGAGCTGTTGAAAATGGAAATGGAACGTGTGGACTCAACATTCTGCACATGGTATGAAGTTTTCAGCTGTGAAGACCTGTACGATCACGTCTGCCAAGAGCTAATGTGCTCAGAAAAAAGGATGCTAAAATATTCCTTCCCACTCCAATTTGCAACTGAGAACTTGCTAGCCTGTAATATCTTTTATTTATAGCACCTTTTGACTCAAAGGATCTGAAAGTGCCTCTCTCTGGGAGTCACTTCAATGATACCTGCAGGCAGGGCTGTTTTTCTGCAGATGACTCCAGCTGGGGTATCAGGGCCTTCTTTGCCACGGACACATGTAAGGAGCCCCCTCTGCCTTACCAAATGCCAGCACTTAGTAATAAGGGCTAGAGGGAAGGGCAGAAATCTGCCCTAATAAACCCCAATAATAGCAAACAGAGAAAACAGACATATAAACCCTATGGGAGAGAGCACTGAGATGGTCATTGGCTGGCTTTGGAAGAAGACATTGGGAGGCAGTATGGCCAGTGCTGGGTGATATCCTTATGCAAAGAGCTTGGGATAGTAAAACCACATCTCAGAAGAGGGCATTTGGTGGCCCTACCTGGTTAACACTCCACCCAACCTAACCAGATCCATCTGTGTTGTGGTGGCCTGGAGAAACTCCGACAGGGACCCTACACAGGGTATGCATCCCAGGGATGGAGGTGCTCCTAAGGGGACAGAATGGGTTTAAGTCCTCAAACTCACACATCCCTTAGTGAGCACAGTCATAGCAGGGCATTCTGCTCATCTTAAGTCCACTTCAGCATCTGCCCATCAGCTGCTTCCTGCTCAGCAGCTGGCTGAAAAGGACCAGAGGACCAGGGGACCAGCTCCTCCATGTGGCTCCTGGCAGCTAGAGAGGTGTCACCCAGCCCTCCTCTTCCTTCCTGTGCTATCCCTGAAGGCCAGGGAGGCAAAAGCCAGGCCCAGCTGATAGGTTTACAAATCCAGCCCATGATTTCTGCTTCATCCACAGCCAGGCGACATGTTGCCAAGACACATATTAGGCAGCTGCTCAGGACACTGCTGTTTTGTCTGTACCACCCTGAGCATGCTGCCTGCCTGCCTGCCTCCCACTCTGCCTCTGCAGCCCCCATATCAAGCTGGTTGTTTTGCTATTCCCTGCGGTGGCCAGAACATATTCAGCAAGAGCCAGCCTTTTTTTGGCACTTCTGCTGGGTCTCCTGAGGGATTTGCCACAGGGAGGGAGTGCCCATCTGTTTCAGCGTCCTCTAAGTCCTGTGCTTTCTAAGGCATCCTGATGTTTCTCAGTGGACAAAGCCATTCAGGCAGTCTCATGAAAAACTCCAGGGACACCAGTGGCTGTTTATGTGGCTGCCCTCTGTCCTGGGTCCCCAGCCAGGTCTTCAGATTAATACACTCATGTCTCCATGATGAAATCCTCAGCACATCTCTCCTCCCTCCATGTCCTTCCCAAGCCATCCTCAGAATCAGCATTATTATATTTTAGTCTCCAAATCTTTTTCCTCCAGGCACCAGACAAGGTGTATTTGATCTCACTTTATCTCTGCCATGCATATGTCAGTGTCTGAAACTCTGGTTTAATAGGAGTCACATCACTGGATGGAAGTTGGCTCTCTCAGGTCCTTTCCATGGAGAACATGTGTTTTGCCTCAGTCTTTCACTACTTTTCAACAAAAATTGACTCCTCCCTCCTTTGAGGAGGGGGCTGGGGTTAGCACCCTGGCAGCCCAAGGGTTGTGTTGCCTGCTTTTAGAACAGCTCTCACTCTCTCCTCCTCCACCTCCTTAGGGGAGAGAATATTCTTCTTGTTTGTACATTTGAGGTTTTTTTTTCTTCCTGTTCTTGGTCCATTGAGTATTACATCATGTAATGCTTCTTTAGAGGCCCCTTCCACAGGTGCTGCTTTGGATTTGGGGGTGGGAATTTGAGGGATTCCCCCCGGAATCATGGAATTATAGAATATTCAGAGTTAGTAGGGACTCACAAAGGTTATAGAGTCCAGCTCCAAGAATCCACCACGCACCTGAGAGTGTTGCCCAATGCTCTGGCAGCCTTAGTGCCTTGAGTGCCCTACCTAAGCTGCCTGTTCTAGTGCCTGACCATCCTCAGAGGAAGAAAACCTTCTCCTAATACCCAGACTATACTTTCCCTGACACAGTTTCACGCTGCTCCCTCAGGTCCTGTCACCAGAGGGAAGGTGGCAAGCATATGGACAAGCCCTGTCTCTATGGAAATACTAAGAGAGAAATAGGGACAGGAAAAACATAAAAACAAAAAAAAACTTAAGAGGGGAAAAAAAATATTTGGGAGGAGGACTTTTAAGAGGAGAGAAAAACAAATCAAAGCTGGTGCCAGGCTGGAACCAGCAGCTGGTTGCCAGCACAGCAGGCTGAGAAGTTGTTGGTGGAAGCACTCAGTGCCATGTTTGGGTTTCTTTTAAAAAAATACAGTGCGTCTCTCCCGTGCTATTCTGCCTCTGCTTTCCTCCCGGCCCCACAAGCAGGAGGAGGGACTCAGCTGCCCAAGTCAGGCTTGTGTTCGCAGCGATGCCGGGGGATGCAGACATGTCCTGCCCTGTCACACGTGTGTGCACACACCTGCGCGCCCAGGAGCACAGGCAGCTCCGAGCCGGAGCGGAGCTGCCAGGCATCCTGTAGGTGCGCTCCCCGCTGCGGCGAGATGCCAGGGCATTGGCAACCATGGCACGATCCTTTCTGCCGATGCGGGGGAAGGAGGTGGGAGGGCTGGGGATGGAGGAGAAAGGAGGGGTGGAAGGTTATAATGCTTGGCTAGAAAAATTTAGAGGAGTACAAAAGAGAGCGCGATGAAAGGGGGTGGCGGCGGAGCGGGGGCAGGAGGCTGTGAACTGGCTGCCGTGGAGGTGGAAGGAGATTTATGTTTGCCGAGTGGCTGTGTGGGAGCGGGCTGGGAGGGCGTGGGGTGCCGCAGGCAGGGTGGGGGTGCTGCGGCGAGCCTGACAGCCCCGGCAGCCAAGCAGCGGGGCTTTATTTTCTTCCTTTCTTTCCGCCTCCCTCCGCTGGGCGCTCGGAGGAGAAGGCGAGACAAAAAGCTGAACCGGTGCCAAGAAGGAGCTGCAGCGACCCGAAAATGGCACTCTGCGCCGCACTAATATTTCGAGGCTGGGCTGTGCTGGAGAGCAGGGAAACGTGTCAGGAATGAGAATGGCTGAGACTGTGGGGCTGCTGGCCGGGCTCAGGAGTGTCCTCCCTCCTCCCTGCTTCCCCTACGCCTTTTAAATGTGACCCCTTTTCTCCTCCAGCTCCCCCACCACTTGCAATGATATTCAAGAGCTCTGGGAAAGGGAGGGGATCTTTGCTGGGGACTTGGAGTGTAAAGGGTTTCATCCCCTCCTTCCAGCTCTGTACCGGGGAGTTATTTTTATTTTTTTTATTTTTTATTTCCCCTAAGGAGGAAAAGAAGACTCTCAGGGAATTTTCTTACTGTTTTCCTGTTGCCCTCGCTGTCCTCCTCCTCCTCCTCATTGCACCCGTCAGGCTGCTGTTGTGGGTCTGTATCTTGATGCAAGGTGACTTGTAGGACACACGAGTCTCTGCTGCAAGGTGCAGTGTCGCCTGCGTTGGTGTTTCCCTCCGTTTCTCATTTGCTGGGAGATGAGGCAACTTCCAAGCGGCTCCACGGTTCCACTCAGCTCCTGGTTGATACAGTGGCGCTGTTTGTGCTGCAAAAGCCCCTTCCTGCAAAAACCTGTCTGGATAAAATAAGCAAACAAACAAACATGTAGGGCTGCAATTGCATCATTTTGAGATGTTGGCTCTTTTGCAAGAAGTGGAATGGAGTTTTGTGGTGATTTCTGACTGAAAGGGAAACTGCCCTCTGTTCATCCCCTTGTTCTTCCATTCACAGGCAAGAAAAAAAAACAAACAAACAAACCACTTCTTTTTTTTTTAATATTACTTTGATTTTTTTTAGCATTTTAAAAATTATAACATTGTAGTAGTTCCGTAGTTGAAGAGAATATAAAAATATCCCCCACCTGCCCATCCCTCCCCCCCCCCACTTCCTGCTGCACAGATGTTCCTTTTCAGATCAGTCTGGAATTGAAAGTTTTAGGTTGTCATTACAGAAACTAGGGACAGAAGAAAGGGAAAACACCAATCTCTGGTTTTGAAAACAGTTCTAGATCCTGTTAGAACAGCAGTTTTAGCCCTCACATAGTCAGCAGGTCACGTTCAAGGAGACCTTGCTAAAGCACGGGCAGAGTTTCATTAGCTTGCTGTATCTCAGAAGCTTGTGCATTACTGGGTTATTAGCTTGGCCCATTTTGTAGTCTCAGGCATGTGATGATCCCTGTGACCTCTTTCTCACCTGAAAACCATGCCCTGGTACATATTCAAACCACTTCAAATCTCACCTGTGTTCTCAGACATGTAGGCCTGATTTGGGAGCACCTACCCCTTCCCAGGAAAGGCTTTTGGAAACACTGTTATAAATAGGGAGGAGTTCAGGCAGACATAAAGGTGTTGCCTAGCATGCTCCCCTAACCCTCCTCTCACTGCTCCTCACAGATCAATTGTCCTTCCTCTGTGGAGGATCAAATTCTCTGTCCCAAATTAATGCTGCTGGGATGGCACGCATTTCTAAGTTGACGCCAGCAGATTTTGTATGGAGTAGGATGAACAAAACAGCTGATCCTTTGCTCTTCCTCACTTCTCAGCTGTGCTTTGTATCTTGTATTTGCTGCAGTTCAACTTGGGTCTGTGCAGAGAAGGTGCTGGATTCCTTCTTGCTCTTTTCCTTTGTTGTGACTGCAGGGTGTACAGTGCTTGGCCCAGGAAACCTTGTTTCTTCACCACGTAAATATCAACAAGAGGGTTGGCCAAAGAATGTGGAGTGTGTTTCTGTACTTTCCACCTCATCCTACCTGTTTTCTCTGAATAAAGGACATGCATAAAACACATAGGTTTTCTGTAAACACATGTTCAAGCTGTTTTGTTTTTCAGTTGACTCTTTGGATGCATGAGTTGAGCTGTTTGAAATATCATCTCCACCCAGAGCACACACCATGTAGCCCTTGCCTGAATTTCATAGAATCACAGGATCCTTGCATGGTTTGGCTTGAAATAAACCTTAAAGCTGATGTAGTTCCACCCCTGCCGTGGGCAGGGACACCTCATACTATACCAGATTGCTCGAAGACCTGTCCAGCCTTGGACACTTCCAGAGATCCAAGGAAAGCCACAGCTTCTCCGGGCAACATGTGCCAGGACCTTCCCACCCTCACAGCCAGGAATTCCTCCCCAGTATCACATCTAGTCCTGCCTTCTGGCAGTGGAAGCCATTCCCTGCATCCTGTCACTTCATGTCCTTGTCCCAAGTTCCTATCCAGCTGTCCTGGAGCCTTTTTAGGTTGGGCAGATGCTCAAGATCTTCCAGGAGTCTTCTCTCCTCCAGACAGAAAAATTACAATGCTTCAGTCCTTCCTTGCAGATCAGATCTTCCAGAATTTTCCAGATGTTCTTACTAATACTTTTGGATGAAGCTACACCTGTTCCTCTGGACAGAACCTCTCTTTTAACCTGAGATGTCTGAGGATGGGAGTCTCAGGGACCTGCAGGATTCTAACCTGCAAGAGAAAGTGGCGGATAAAACCTGTCAACATGACCTGAGGAGACCCTGGTTCTTGTCCTGACCCACCACACACTGTACAGACCATTGCTCATGCTTCTAGATCTGGAGCCAGCTTGTGTTTACTACTGATTTAAACTTCTTCAGTGTTCAAATACTTCAGTTATCAAATAACAATTCCCAACAGATTTATACAGAAGCTCCCAAAGACATCGGTAGGTATTAATGTGGAGTGACAGCATCCATGTCTGCAGAGCAGCAAAATAGTGTTTGTTATTCAGAAAGGAGAACTGGGAGCGACAAATTAAGAGATATTCACAAAGCTTGTTATTTCAATAGGCAGACCTCTTTCATTTCTTGAAATCTTGATCATAGGGCAGCTTGTGGACTGCATCTTGTCCATTCTGGGGCAGAAATGCTGCTCTTGTTCTTTCCAAATGGTCAAGTCAGCCATCTGGGCAGATTGTCATGCTTCCCAAGGAGCGAAGGTTTTGACAAGGCAGATGTAGGTTTTTGTCTTTATTTCTCCCTGTCTAAAAGACGTGTCTTTGGATATATTCTCCACAAACATGATATCTGATGTGTCTCAAGCTGCTTCCTTCAAATCCTTCATCCTTTTAGCACTTAATAATGAGAAACATTGTCTATTTGGAGTTGTTATAAGGTGACTTGTGTCTGGAAGGGTCAATCTAAAGGGCTAAAGGACTCTTCTGAGTCTGTTTTCCATTCCTTCTCCCCACACTTTCCCCACTCCCAGGTTTTTGGGTTTTTTTTTTTTTTTTTTTTTTTTTTTTTGACCTGTAACCTCACATTCTCACATTTCTGTAATCTAAATGTGCAAATGCTTTGCGGTCATGGTCCAGTAGCTGGGTTAATCTCAGACCCCTGGAGTGGCAGATGGCTGATTTGTTGCTGATTCCAGTTATAGAGAATTGTGTCACCTATTATCTTTGCACAGACTGATGCTTAAAAGGATGCCTTTGGCAAAATCAGTGAAAAGCAAAGCAAACATTTTGTGATCTGCACCACCACAGGTGAAAATGTGAAATATTTCATCTTTGTGTGAAGGGCTGGAGAGGTGGACAAAGAGGAGAGGGGAGGAAGGGAAGAGGAAGACCACATTTTCATACCAGAAGTACCAAAGCACAGTGCAGAGCAGGTTTGCTTTAGTCACATTGTAGAATCACGAGCACTTAGTCTGTTTTAAATGGTTTTGCAATGTGGTAATCCTTGGCTTCAGCTCCCTACTTTAACTCTTACCAGGAGTGTTGGCTTCTTGTGACACCTGCCTGCTCTCTTCCCAAGCTTTTATAGCACAGGTTGTCAGAGGAACCCACAGCATCAGTCCCTGAGACCTCGGCTTTTTGTGCGCCCCACAGCTGCTGGGGAAAACTCTGGTACTACTGTCATGCCAATTTGCTTACAGGGGACACTTGAGAGGGGAAGCTTACACATCTGTATGGGGTGAGGGGAAGCTTGGGGGCCTTACAGAACACTGCAGGACCAAGGGGGGACCCCACCCCACTGGGTGCTCACAGGGCCCCAGCTGGCAAGTGATGGTAGTGGTCATACTGAAACATGTAAGGAAATCAAAAGGGCAGAGCAAAACGCTGGATGTTTGTGACCATTTCTCTACACAGTCAGCCCTACAATCAAGGTTTTCTTTCTTTCTCTTTGCTTTGGGAAACACCACAGAGTCAGATGAAGAATTTGGGAAGAGAGTGTGGGTTCCCTGTGCAGAGTCCAGTGACAAAATCTGTGAACAAGGTAAGAACAAGGGGACATGGCTGTGATGATTTTTTTATTCCTTTTCTCTTTCCCAGCAAAATTTTGCAATGTTGGACACAAAATTTAGCTATGTGTATCACAGAAACTGAAAGTCCAAGCACTAAACAAATGAGTCTAAATTGTTAATTTGCATTTCTTTTAATGCACGCCATTATGATGGTTTGGGTTTTAGAACAGTTTGTATCATATCCAAATGATCTATGTGTGAATAATTGTTACCAACCTCCTGACACCAGGACCTAATTAGGAAGTAAGAGCTTTAAATAGGCCATTTGTGTACTGAGCTTCCATATGTCCCCTTGCACAATTTATTTGCTCCACTCCATTGAGGTATAATGAGAATGAAACTCTTAGAACTGCTTTTGACTCTGAGGCTCTTCTCTTCATTCCCTATGCAGTTATAGCCCCTATTAAGCTAATATCTGTTTCCCTGTTTTCAGAAAGAAAAAGCTAAGGTACTTTGAGTCCCGATTGCCCAAGCTTCTCTGTTTCCTAGGGTTCAATGGAAATGGAGTGAAAAAATTACAAAAAAAATTGCAGACTAAGAAAAATGGAATGCCATCAAATAAAGCAGAAAGGTCAGGACAGGATGATCTTGAGGGAATACTAACTATCCTACCTACCTCACAACCCTGCTGATAGCTGATGCCATTGTATTTCAGTTAATGAACAGATGCAAAGAAGGGATGTATATGGATAGAAGCAATTTGAAGAGATTTTTATTGGTTTTGTTTGGCTTTCTTCCTGTTAGGATGTGAGACAGGGGGAAAGGTGGTTTGGATTTTTTCTTAGTTTTGAATATTTATCTCAGTCTGAACCAACATCCTCTCTGGGACTGCTTGTTCATATTTAAATACATGGTATGTTCTTCAAGTGTACTTTCAGAATATATTCTTTATTTCCAAACACATCTTGCATGCATGACTTCATCTTACATTTCATGTGTCCCAGTTGATTCTTTTACTCCATCATTCTGAAGTCAGAAAAACTTAAATGTATTTTTAAGTGTCATTTTCTATCATGATAAAATTTAATAAATTCTTATGGCTTGAGCTTTTTTTTTTACCCCCAAATATGGATCTTGTTTTGTTTCCCAGACAAAGACAACTCTACTTGCAATTATTTTGTTTATGATAATTTACTTGCATGTTCCCTTCCAGGAGTTGTCATTGCCTTCCAGGAGGAAGGTTAGTGCTAGTCCCCTCGCAGTGATAATTATAATCAGACCTGTCAGCCTTCACACAGTCTACACTTATCACTTGCATTTAGAAGGATTTTTCCTGAAGCCTATTACTAGTTCTGCTTCTTAGGGAAAAACATTCATGATTTTTTCTCCTAATCTTTGATGGCTCTCAGCTTTGAAAGCATGGAGAGTAGCAAAATGACTGCCAATTGCAGTTAAAGAAACTGCCTGTTGGTTCTGGTATAGGGCTCTGGAAAGCCAAAGTGTGGTTGGATAATCTGGGAAATACTGAGGGTTTTAATTTGTTTGTGACAACACTTCATGTGTGCTGCAAACACAAAACAGTTTCCAATGGTATTTCTCACAAGGAAATGCCACTGCAGACCCACTAGACATGGGCTTCAGGTGGCAGGTGGCTCTTGGCAGTGGTGCCCGCTCTCCCTGCTGTTCTGGGCAGTGATTCCTGCCCATGTTGAGAGAACTGGAAGCAGGATGGCCAGAGAAGTGGCTGCAGTTGCTGCTGGAGGCAATGACTGGCATCACATGGACCAGTTGCCACCAGTGCAACGGTGACCAGCTGGACCAAGTCATGGTGCTGAGTAGGTTAAGGTTCAGTATTTTGTTCATCCCCGGATGCTTGAAAGTTGTCTCCTGTAGTGTTATTCCCTGGGAAACAGGTTGACTCATTTAACAGATTTCCCCCTATTTTCACTCTATTATTGCAACTGATGTGCTGCTAACCCCCCTTTCTAACCTTTCTGGTTTCTACTAGCATGATGACAAAAAGATGAAAGTTTTACCATTTCTTTAGATTAAATGAGTTATGTATCTTTAAGTCCCTCCTCTGTTATTACCATGCTTTTCCAACTTACTCAGAGATTCAGGCTCCCTTGATTTTGGCAGAGTCTGAGGATGGTCAGCAATTTATAGCTTTTTCTAGCAGAGAGATGGTGGAAGATTGGGAACTCATGTTATGTGTAGTTTTATATTTACAGCGCACAGAGATATGATTTGCCTGTGTTTTATTTAAATTCACTGGGAACTAGAGATTTATTTATCAGGTGTCATTCCCTGAAACATGAATTATGCCATCAAGACAAGACTCATCTATTATGCAAACAGATTTGAAGGCTTTGCTATTACATTTCTCTGCCTGTTAAATGGAGTAATAATGGCTTTGGCTGAACAGAGACAGAGTGATACTTAGCAGTAGCATCTTATGACCTTTTGATCAGCTGAGATCTCAAGCCATATTAGTGGACAGATTATGATGTGATGGAAAGAAGGCCAGGAATAGCCTTTTCATCATGAGATCTTTTCTGTGAATATCCTTCTTAGGTGTATTCAGGTGGTTAATCACTGTGGCCAGGGCAATCATTTGGAAGGAGGGGAGTGAAATGCTGGTATAGACAATCCAAATATGCTCAGGTTTGCCAAATGCAACTGGATATTAGAGCTAATGGTTTCTGCCTAATATTCTCCTACCCTCCAGTTTCTATCAAGGCTCTGGGTGACCTTGTGATTTTTTTCCATCTGTAATAACCACATTTTGGCAGAAAGAGCAACATAAAATGAACCCTGAGTCCTTGGACCACAGGGGAGCCACAGTTGCTGAATCAAGGGAATGCACATGGTGAATATGGATATCAGACTGTAAAGGGAAGCTCACATGAAAATATCTCTGTCATTTTAGAGATAATAACAGTAGTGCTTGAATCTATTTCAGCACTTCCAAGGAAAAAAGAAATAATGCATCTTTCAAAAAATGCACAGCCCTGATAGTATTTCTCATTTTACAGGGCCAACTAGAGCAAAGAATGACTTTTACCTTCTCTTACCTGCATGTGCAGAATTACTCCTCAAACTTGGCTCTAGCTTTGAATTAGCCTCCTTTTCATCTTAATGGGCAAGAGGAATCTGCAGCCTCCTTGAAAATCAAACATAAAAGGTTGCTTATTCACTGCTGACTCTGCACATCAACAGCAGTTGTGCCAAAGCTTGACCCAGGTGCTGTGGTCACTTTTGGAAGGAAAAGGGGCAGACACATAGGTGTGGAATGCCTCTGGGCCTGTCTGAGCATGATTATATGCCCAGGCAGCCCATGCTGGTTATGGACTATGCAGCATCATCCTGTACATTGCTAACACAGGGGTGTCCTAGTTGCACATGTTTTTTCCCCTCCTGAAGCCAATCAAGATGCTCATTTCAGTGTCAGGAGGAAGAACTGGCAGTGTGAGAATCCCAAACCATCAGTGTAGTGGGGATGATGATGCACCAGGTGTGGAGAACAATAGCTACCACGGAGTAATGGAAACTCTTTGAAAATAAGGAGGCCATGGAGGTGGGAGAAGTGCACAGCAGGACACTGTCTCCTCTCATCTCCCCCAGCCTCTTCAGTCAGGTGCCTGCTGGTGAATGCACTAGATGACAGGATCACAAGGCATTTTTTTCTGCTGGCATGAAGGAATCTGCATCCTCCTGGCATTATTGCTTTCTGAGTCAGGAAGCCACTGTGAAACATCGAGGCTGTGAGCCCACATGGTGCTTTTTAGCTGCTTCTTCCAGGGCCACAAAGATGTCCAAAGGGGAGCTGGGAGGTGACACAGGTCTGCACCTTCTTTTCCTTGTGAAAAACAGGCAAAACTGCAAAAGGTGGATGGCAGCCTTGGTTCTGTCCACAGAGAAAGTGTCGTTGCTGAAATACAGCCAGCCCACCAGGATAAGGAGCTCCCTCCCAACCTCCATCTGGAAAGCATGAGTAGGTTGCTGCACAGGTGATTGTTAGAAGCATCATGAGCTAAACCATTCAAAGGGATGTGCTCCTCTGAACAGCTGTTATAAAAGTTTCTGATGGCAACTTTGAAACTTTTTCACTGGGAAGGCTTTGTGGTGTGTGTGGTGAAGTGAGTATAGCATGAACTATTTCCTCTGTGTCTCTGCTCTGCCTTGAGACCCTGTGGGGTGTAGGAGGCTGCCAAGATTTGGGTGACACAGTACCAAGAACTTCCCTCTTGGTTTGGGATTACATTAATGCTGCTCTACCTTCTGCCAGATGGCCTTGCCTTGATAAAATCAATTCCCCTCAAAGTAAAAGAGCTTTCATTCAATCCACAAGAACAGCTTGCTCTGTCTTTTGCAGGTCAGAACAGAAGGTTGCTATTGGACATCTAATGGTATCCCAGTTGTCATGGTTTAACCCCAACAGGCCCCTCATAGTCCCTCATTCACTCGGATTCACCAGCAGGATCAGGGAGAGAATTGGAAGGGTAAAAGCTGGAAAACTCATGGCTTGAGATAAAAACAGTTTAATAGGGAACATAAAAGCCTTGCATACCAGCAGAGCAAAAAAGGGAGTTAATTCTCTCCTTTCCATGTTCAGTTACCTCCAGAGAGTCGGACCCATCACATGTAACATTGACTTGGGAAAACAATCACCATCAGTCCAAACATTCCCCCGACCTCCTCCTTCCCCCACTTTATAAACTGAACACGATGTCACATGGTCTGTCCCTTGGGGTCACCTGTCCTGGCTGTGTCTCCTCCTAAACTCTCAATCACCCCCATCCCCTCCCAGCCTGGCAGTGCAAAAAGCAGAAGAGGCCTGGGCTCTGTGCAAGCTCTGCTCAGCAGTAACAAAAACATCTCTGTGTCATCCACCCTGTGTTCAGCACAAACCCAAAACACAGCCTTGTAACAGCCCCTGGGAAGAAAATGAGCCCTGCCCCAGACAAAACCAGCACACCAATGCAGCACAGTTAGAGCATATGGCAAGTACTCGAGGTGGGATGCTTTTCTG